CACAGGGACCTGCCTGAGGGGGTTCCCAGGGCTTCTGGCACCCTGAGGATCCAGGATATTACCCAGCTTAGTGTGCCAGTGAGGGTTGCACTGGGAAGGTGGAAAGCTGAACAAGGTTTTGAGGCCTGAGGGGCCAAGTTTGTCGGCTGGGCCAGGAGGCCTCAAGGCATTGTGACTGACTGTGGCTACGGAGACTGTTGGAGGCCATGATTATAGCCCCTAAGTCATGATTAGGGCCAGGGTCTGTGCTCGGGTCCATATGACCCTGCTGATCTGAGAAGAAAGAGAAGCCCTGGGGACTGTCTCAAAGGGAAAGCATGTGCTATAGAGTTTCAGCATGGAGAAGTCCCAAGGCCTTAGCTAATAAGGAAGCTACCAAAGAAGATGCTACTCTGGCCTCTTGAGGCTGACCCCCCAGGTTATCATAGTAAAATCAAGGTGTGGCAAATGAGACAAGAAGTGATGGAAGCCACAGAGCGCAACAGGAGAGTCTGATCAGCAGGGTGTGTCAGATGCCAGTACAGCTCCGAGCAAGATCCTCCATTACCTGGTTCTAGCAGCTGTAACCACAGGAGTCAAAGGGCCCAAGACATGGAGCAAGGAATTCAAATTCTTTATGTCTTAAAGGGGTGAAAGATGGCAACCTTCATGCAGTTTTCTCTCTGAGTTGCTTCAGCACACCCACTTCCATCAAAATGGTGACTGAGTGCTAAAGGGAAGCCTTATGGGATTGTGAGGTGACTCAAGCAGTAACTTCAAGGAAAGGGCCAAAAGTTTTCAACTTCAACTTAGAAGGGTTGCTATCTGCCAGATGTGACTGTTCAAATGATTAAATGCACCAAAGATTGATGTCTTTGCACGATAAAGTTCTTATGTAACTGACAACCACAAACCTCAAACTGCTGCACTTCAGGATACCATTCAGGGCTGAGGCACCACTAGCCAAACATGGACTACAGGACTTGTCAAACAGGAGCTCTGGAAAACCAGTTCTTTTCAATCCCAGATATTAAAGAAGGAATGCTATACTGCTCTCTTGTAGTGGGCATGGGAGGACAGTATATATGTGAGCTTGTGTATGCCAGCGTGAGAAATGGAGCCATTAACAGTTCCTTAAAATCAAATGACAAGTGTCAAGGCACGTCAAGAACTGAGCATTGTTTGCTAGTTGCCCTTGTCTTAAAAATGTACAGGAAATGCTCATGCTCTTAAAGGTGAAGGGAATAGGAGAAGTAGAATTATAGCTACTATCACAAGAGGGAGATTTAGGAGGATGTGAGTAATAGCATTGAAGGAAGGGTTAAAAAATTATCTCTGGACTTCCTTAAAACTATTCAGATTGAGTTTACCTCTGTCAGGATCTGAAACCAAAACAGGCGGTCACTTCCTGGACTAGCTAATGTTTCACCGTTGAGGCGGGATCTCTTATTTGTGGCTTAGGTTAAAGCAAAAAACACAACTCCTTCAATCCCCTGATGCAGAATTGACAAAATATACATCTGTCTTGCATCAGCTCGTGATTTAATTGGATTATTGCAGAAACTGATGATTAAGACAACATCCTCCTTATTAAGTGATTGAGTTCTTGAGTTAGCTTCAGTTGTGACTTTAATTTGACCTTTGCATTATATTACTTCTGGTTTACTTAGGATTTTTAGTCTTTGTGATTTATATTTGTTTCATGTTAATAATTAGATTTGCTTACTTTATTCTTTTTAGTAAAGTGCCTAAAAGGTAAAGGGATTGGTTTATCCTTTCAAGCTGCTACCTGGGTCCTGAGGTGAAGTGCTGGCAGCAGCAGCAACATCTGGGTAGAGTGCACCAGGGATTCTGAGCCCTCTGGGCAGGTAAGACGGATGCTGCTGCTCTGCTCCCCTCCCCCCCGCCTGCTCTATGGCAGGGTTTTGCCCTGAATTCAAAACTTGCTAGTTATACTCTGGGCATGCAGTGTGAGGTGTGGGGCCCCGGTTCAGGGTTCAATTTCACATAATTGTGAACATTTCTAACAGTACCTTTCTCTACACTTTCAGAAATGTTCTAACAGTACCTGAATTTGTCATTCAGGATGAACTCCTTTGAAGCTAATAGAGTTACTGGCCTGATTCTTCTTTCATGGATTTGAACTGGGTGTAATTCTACTGACTTCAGTGGGACCACTCCTAACTTGCACTGCGTGTGATGGGAGGATCAATCCATTCCAATAATGACTATTTGAAGATGAATCAGATCTTTTGGGGCTGCTTCTCCATTACGTTGTGTGAGCTTCATGGCAGGTGCAACTCCCCTGGCTTCATGCATCTTACTTTCGTGTGACTTGTCCTATGCAGAGCAATAGAAGATCAAGCTGTGTATCTTTAAGGTGACATCCTCCAGAAGGGTGGCTAACTGGAATAGTCACCGATATAAGCTTTTTACACACAAGATTTAATGTAGTACTTCGAGTGATCCCGAGACTGAAGTGAACAGAACGGTGTAAATAACACAGGGCAGCAGCAGGAGCAGGCCTTAACCAGTATTTCATTCAGTAATTCAATACTTATATATGTTATAAGTGCTAGTTCTGGTTCTTTTCCTTTTTCCCTTCTTGGTCCCTTTTTTTCATAAGGTCCAATGGACAAAGGGATGGTAGGGATTTATTTTATATGTACAGTCCACAGTTGTGAAGTAAAGACATACTTGGAGCCTGCTGAGAGTGGAGAAATATTTTACTATTTATTGACTATTTCTGGTTGGCACCATCTGCTTCACTGTATAATTTAAATGATTTGTGCATATTTTGCATTGTTTTTGCAGTGATAAATGTTACTATAAAAGTGAAGGGCAAAACCTTCACTAACATTCCTGGGGGCAGGTGTTTATTATTAGATGTGGATGTTGATACTCCTTGTTTACACCAGTGTGAAAGAAGCTACAATGAAATCAAACTGCTGACTTAATCACCATTCAAATTGCTATTGCAAAGAACAAAAATCAGTTTAAAAGAATGATGCCTTTTATTAAAGTAAAAATTATAGAAGTGAGATTTTTTTTTTTTGTGAGAGATCCTTTTTAATAACCTCTGGAGCCCTTTGTCAGCTCCCTCCCTTTGAAAACTTGTTAGAGCCCCCTTTGATTGCCCCTTCAGATGATCAAAGTTTCCCATCAGTGGGTTGTTACTTCCACCTTCCACTTTAGATATGAAAATCTGGTTTTCCCTGTCGGGTAGAGAAATCTTTTTGCCTAAAGATGTCCCATTTGACAGAGAAATATGAACATTTAACAGGTCTCGGTGCTGGCCCTTTGCTAGATGCAAGGCTTTTTCCTAACTGCTTCTGAAGGTATTGGTTCAATATACGGAAGGAGACAGAAGAGAAGACAATTAAATCCCACATTCAACATAGAGATTGCAGTCTGACACTGACAGAGTTGGCAACAGCAAACAGAATCTGTAAATGGTATATAGACAGATATTCACCATATTTCACAGTAATGCAAACAAAAGACAGGTCATTAAATATTTAGCAGGTACTGAAAACAACTAGCTGCAGCTAAAGAAGAATGAAGTAATTAATCACTGTAAATTTTTAATCTAATTTACATATTTTACCAAAGCACAAGTTTTGCAGTATGTTGGAGAACCACAAGAAATTAAATATGGCTTGCCATTTACAGAAATAATTCTATGTTCACTGATAAAGAAATTTTATTAATTACATGTGAGGCTTGCTTAATCTGATGCATCTCTCCCAGGCAGGTATTTACTGTTAGTTGCATAGACTAGATTGTACCATTTAGTCTAGAAAGGTGCAGTGATTTATTGCTGCAGGAGACATGTCTCCTTAAATGACTTTGAGCACTAAGAAGCTTGCATACCTGAACTGGGTAACATTTTTCGGCTGAAACTTTTTTTGGTGGGGGGGAGAAAAGGGGGGGGGCTGCTAAAAATCTCTAAAGGTTGAAACATTGTTTTGACATTAAATGCTTTTATTCAAAAGGATTTTTCAAAGTTGATCTTGGAATCATTAAAAACAAAAGTTTTATAAAGCTCAAAAATGAAATGAAAGGTTTCATTCAACTCCAAATAGGCTTTTTATAAACTTTTTATTTGTCTACAAACTTAAAAAAAAAAGTTTCAGCTGGACGCCAAACTACCATTTTTTTCCCTTAAACATTTTTTAAGAACTGTAACTGAAATGAGTTGTTTGCACAGATCCAGTATAAGCTATTACATGTTAGGAATGCAGTCTGCTGCTTCCTCTGGGATAGCTTCACTCCTCTGTCCCCATCAGAGCACTCCAGGGCAGCAATCCTTCCTGACCTTTATATTCACAGAAGTTTAGGGCCGGAAGGGACCTCGTGAGATCATTGGGTCCAGCCCCCCTGCTCCAGGCAGGAAAGACTGGTAGGGTAAAATAAGCCCAGCAATTCACAGATCGGAAGGAAGTTTCACTGTATTCTCTGGCCCTGGATAGACATAATGTTTACTCTGGCATGGATCATCATCATATTATACGTGTGTGGGGTGAGGGAGGGGGCGTGTGTACTGGATAGATCACGCAAATACCTATACTGGGATAACTTTACCAATATGGAGGATTACGCCTGAAAGAACTGGGGTAAAATTCTACCAATGTTAAAATATACTAAGTTTTATTTGACTGCTTTCATCTCAAGATAGACTTTGCCTTTAGCAAATAGCTATCAGCTGCTCTCTCACCAGCTAGCAGCAAGGTATAATAATAGGGCTGTGCAAAACAGCACCATTTTGTTTCGACTTCTGTTTTGAAGGGACAGTGTTTCATTTTGCTGTTGCAAAGCACTGTTCTGTTTCATTCCATTGAAGCTGTTTCGATGCATTTCAATGTTTTGCCCATAGGCTATAGTGGAGAATCACGAAAATGCCTATAACTTTGTAATTTCTTGCCTGATTCAGATGAAAATTGCAGGGATGGTATTGCCTTCTGAGGGCATGAAGCCTGCCAAATTTCAAGGAGATGGGTGTGGGGGGTTTTTGTGAAACTGCACCTCAAACTGTTCAAAGCAAAACTAGTATCACTTGCCAGCAGCGACAGCCTGCTGTTATCCCCCATGCAGATCCAGGGGCCTTTTTCCCCAGGGAGGAGTCTGGCACAGCCCTGCAGCCCTCCTGGGGGCATGGGCCCCCAGATTTGCATACAGGATGACAGGAGGCTGCCGCTGCTGGCTGAGGCCAGTGCCAGCACTGGGTTCTTCCCAGCCCTTGGCACGGGCTGTGCCAGGCAGACTCAGGTGCTGGTGTTGGCCCCAGCTGGCAGCAGCAGCATGCTGTCATTCCACATCCTTCAGGGGCCTGCGCCCCCCCAGGAAGAGCTGGGGGAAGTGATTGGGGAGCTGGGGAATTGAACTAGGAGCCAGATGTCAATCTCAGAGCAGTCCTTCCCCTTCCCTCTCCTTAGTTTCTGTTTAGCTGCAAGCAAGCCCAGCTTCGAAAATCAAAATGTTTTGAAACTTTTGAAATGTTTCAAGTGCCCTCATTTCATTTCAAAGCTGTTCCAAAGCTTCTTGTTTTGATTTCATTGTTTTGAGCTCAACCCACATCGAAACAGCTTTGAAATGAAATACCCATCGAAATTTCGCACAGCCCTATTGCATATGGTATGAGCTGCTCTCAGAGCTGGAGCAGCATGCTGCATCAGGCAGGTGGGCAGAGAGGCACCACTGCTGCTGCATGGTAGCAAGGCAGGTGGACTGGAGCAGGTGCCACCCCACCCACCACATGCCTGGCCTGGCTCCTCCTGAGCAGCGGCTGGAGGCAGGAGATGGGCTGGGCTGGGTACTGCTTCTCTGAGTCTGAGGCAGGGTGAGAAGAGCACTGCTGTGAGTGTGGGCTCATGGGCGCACACGCGTGTGTGTGGCACACCCCTGGCCACAGCGTCCTGGGTGGTCGCTCATGTCTCCCACCCCTAAGGCTGGCTTTGATATCCTGGGATAACTACATACCTGTCTGTTCCTGTCTGCAATATAGTTCACACAAAGCAATGTAAACTACACCAGTGTATGTGATTTGTCACGGGCCTCCTTGGCTCTGAGCTGTTATTTATAAAAGCTGTAAAATCTGATTCTATCTTATGACTTTACTGTTAACTTTTTAATACTGCTCTTCACTGTGTGGGGGTGTGTATACAGGGTTTATGGCCTTGTGAGTGTGCCAGCATGGGCTAGGAGATGGGTCCAAACATTTTAGGCTGAAGTCAATTTTATTCAGAAAATAGGTTTCGTACTAATGCAATGCAGCTTTATGGTGGCAGTGCTTCACAAAAACATTTGAATTAATGGGGAAAGAACAAAACATTGTTTCTTGTCTCATGCTTAGTGAACAGAGACGGCAAGAAAATAAAATGTGATGAAAGAAACAGCTTGTGAACTATAAATTAGTTCAAGGTTAATTTTATTTGTGTTGAATGATCTCTGTAACTGCAAGACAGAAGAATGATGAGGATGTGGAACTGAGGAAAATTAAGTGATTTTTATGACATAACACAAATTAGATTGTTTTTAGATTACCAGTAAGGACTTAATATAATTTACATGCCGAAGGGCAGTCAGTATGTGTCTGTAGTATAACTAAAGGGGAGTGAGGTGGCACCAGCCCTGGCCACTGACTTTAGGGGGTTGCAAAAATTGCAGCCACTGTTGCCAAGCTTGGTATAGACACTGGTGATGGTGAACCGGCCACTTGTCTCAATCAAATTGTTCCAATCAAAGTCTTTACCCCCTGCTAGCCTCCACCTCCCAAAGGTCAAACTAGGGCTCAGTGGGCATAAGGGCCTGTTTCTACTAGAAGACATTCCCCTTCAGAGCCTGAAATGCAACCTCGGGTCTGTGAGTCCTACTATTCCCCTAATGTCAGCAAGTATCTTTAAAACTCACTGGTGAAGTGTCCTGCCTGCCACTAGTAAGCTGAATGTAAACAAGCGCTAGTGCTGCCCTTTACTCCAGGGGTGTCATGTAAGGTGACCACCTTTTCACGATACAAAAGTGGGACACATGCCCTTTCTGCGCCCCTGGATGAGCTGCCTGTGGCTCCATCCTGCTCCCCAGCCAGGCCCCGCAGCTGTGCATTCCTGCCTGGGCCCTGGGGCGCCATGCACCACTACAGCTGGGCAGTATCTCTACCCCAGCTCTAGCTACCACCTCTGCCCCACTTCCTTCTTCATCATAAGGGCCTCAGTCTGCACCTCCACCCCACCTCTCCCTTGTTGGCTATGCCCTCCCCCACATAGATTTACCTGCAGCAGCTGGGGGAGCTGGTTTCCACTGCTTCCTGGGGCTATATTCCCAGCTACCTGCAGGTGTGCGCATGCACACATGCATGTGGCACCCCCTACACCTTGCTCCCCCAGCCCCTTGCAGCCTAGAACTCTGCGAGCCTGGAAGGGGAAACCTGCAATTTCCCATGGGTTTTTTTACAGCAAACAGAAAACCTGCACAAGATGCTGGAAAGATAATTGACTATGTCCAGGGGAATCTGGGACAAATGCTGTCACAGAGTCATTTAACCTGGGACCAGGACTTGACATTTTGGAACTATCCCGCTGTATAAGGGACAAGTGGTTACCCTAGTGACCAATATGGCCTGGGTGGAGGATCCAGCCCACAGAATCTCCTTATCTGGTCCCTAGTGTTACCTTGGGTCTCATAGCTGACCCATGCAGCACCTGGCACCCAGTCTGGCTGGTCTGGGATGCACGCTGCACACAGCACCTTCTCCAGCCAGTTTGGGATCTCATTGTATGCAGGACCCCAGTGAGCTCTGCATGCAACATGTGTCCCAGGCTGGCCAGAGTGTGCAACACGTAGGGTGCATCCTGGACCTGCTGGAACAGGCGCCGCATGCAGTGAAGTGGATGGATCTGGCATGCTGGGGAGGGCGAGTAAAGAAAAGGGGTTAGGGGGAGGTCCATAGGCCCAAGCCGACCTGTGGATGGGCCCTGCACTATCCGGCTGGCGGGGACAGATGAGTTTGACATTCCTGCTTTATTCTATTAGCTGAAGAGGCAGAGGCCTGTGGGGTGTCTAAAGATTCCAAAGCTCCTGTTGACTCATGTGGTGCCAGTTCCACATGATGGAACTTTTAGTTTGCTTTTGTCAAATCCTTGGAAATCCTTGCAACCTTAGAAATGTATCATTTCAAGCTGAGCATTCAAAAATTAGAAACTACTGGAATTAAAAATGCTTTAGTGTTAAGGGTTGCACATGCATCAGGATGCAGCCTTTAGTTGCATGATCACATACAGGTTTTTTTTCATTTCTTGGCTTCATGACGAATCACAGCTGTGTGCTGAAGGAAGCTGCGGTTGAGAGGACTGGTGCTTCATTTGTTGCAGAGGTGGAAAGCAGCGTATATCAGTTGCTGCAACTAGATTGCTTTCAGTAAACAATCTAGCTTGTTTAAAGCTACCTCCTGGTATCTTTAGCTCCATGTTGTCTGCAAAGAAAATATACTCTATTTCATAGTAATGTAACTATAGCTTTGGTAAAACAATACAATAAAATTAATGATAAATTATATATATAATTATGTAAATTTCAATTATTTGCTAAAAGCATACACTAAGGTTATACATTCTACCAGTTCAAACGACATTAAAACAGAACATAGTATATGATGCTACAAAAAAATAGATAAAATGAAGCAATATACAATAATAAAGTGAAACTAAAAATGGGGTAGTTCTATTTGATTTTGGCCTTTATTTATGCAAGTAATGCAAATGCACCCAGGGGGCAGAGGACAGTTTGCAAGTTGTTAGAGAGGAGCCAAATTGTTTTTCTTCATTAGCCCAGGATTTGAAAAGTTTCCACTAATGGACATATTCATTTTCCTTTTCTTTCTTCAAAGTATATCCTGTGTAGTGAACTATATATGCACAAGGGAGCCAAGTTAAGTTTGTGCAAGCAGCCTTACTTTTGGGATTCTCCTAATTTTTTGAGTGCTTGATTTTTGCAACCTCAGTAATATTCCTGTAAAGTAGCTTTTGTATACAGTTAGACAGGAACAATACAGCACAGCCTAGAAATAGCACAACTCCTGTTCTGGGCTACTCCATAGACTTAGAGAAGAGATTCTTAAGCAGGGTGCTAGGGTGTACCCCGGGGCAGGATCCTTTGAAGGATCACTCGGAGAATGTGAGGAGATAATCGGATAAGGGCAGGCCATTGCCTGGCCATTCCCAGACATCCACTGTCTGGCCCCTCTGCAATATGAGGTAAGCCCTGTAAGTTAACTAGTTTTTGAAATGGGGTGTAGCTCAATTCACAAAAATTATGAAGGGGTGCCTTGAGTCTACAAAAGGCTGAAAACTACTGACTTAAGGTAAAAGTCTTTGGGCTACTTCTGTGGTATTCAAGACCATCACTCTGCCCACCCTCCTCAAACCTGGAAATAGGTGGTGAAGCTACCCTGAGGTGCCTACTCTCTGCTACCTGTGAGATCCCTGTTTCCAGTATTTCCAGGTAAGACGTAAGAGTAGGGGCAGGCAAAATACGGCGTGTGGTCTGGATCCGGCCCACCAGGCCATTCTATCTGACCCATGGGCCCCCCAAAAATTTAGGAAATATTTATTTGCTCCTGGCTGCCTGTCCAAGATGACAGTGGTCAGGGGCAGTAGGACCCAGGAGAAGCCAGAAGGACTCAGCAGTAAGGCCAGCCTGGCCCTGCCCCACCCCAACCCCTTCCCATTCCCCAGAAACAGAAGGCTCTGCCTGCTGCAGCTTTTGCTGCTTCCCTG